CCAATAACGGCAGAGCCGACCAATCAGATCAGACTTGGCACACGTGGGGACTCTGATTGTGGGCACTTCAGAGCCTTAGAGAGAGAGTCAGAAGCGAGCCGGTGCATGGAGCGGCAGTACATGAAAACAGACACTTTTTTTGAACTTTAGCTATTGTAAACATACTTTAGTAGGTACATAGATTAAATATATGAACCCCAAAAAGGGCATAATATGGGCTCTTTAAGCAGGATAGCCACCCCTCCCCATTCCTCCACTGGCCTGCACTCACGCTGCTCCAGGACTAACTGGGCCTGAGCACGGTACGGATTGCCGAGTGTGAGTGCGCCCTAACACAGCCGTCTCCACAACAACAACACTGGTGTTTAGCACAAACAGCCACAACAAGACCTACAACCAGCCGTACTACTACTGGATTAGAGACATGTTAACATTCTTTACACCAAAGTGAACACCTGAAGAAGAACTATGGTCAAAAACCTTGTGTTTCAATTAAATCTTTTGGAGGCATTTGAGCGAGCGGGAATTTCTTCTCTTCTCTAATGTTCTGTATACACAGATGTTTTTTAAAGCCATCTGGGGGGAAAATGTTAGATTCACCCAAAGTTGAAACCATTTTGACTTGGTCCAAGCTCGAAACATCAGTCAGGAGAATTTATAATAAATCTCATCTTAACATCTTAACATTTTGATTTACTAAACATGGTCTACTCTTCTTTCTCCACCAGATGCTGCATAGAGCTCATATTGTATCTGTTTCCTTAAGGCCTAGTAAATAACATTAAGACTGTACTGTCTATACTTTTCTTGAACAAAACATGGAACAACAAATGTCTTAGAGCCTCAGAGGAGTGAATTTGTCTGATTTTGACGAGACTTGCATGTCAACATCATCAGTATATGAGTGTGTGGGTAAATATGTTGAAGTTGTGCTTTAAAGACTTAACAAATGTCAGAGAGCACCACATGTATATAAATCACTCACATTAGACCAACCAATAAGCAACCAGTATGTAAGAACAATCTGACAGACATTTAAGTTGTCCACTTTGTAAAATACGTTACCTGATTCTGGTGTCCCTGGTGTTTGGGAGGTAACAGTGGAACCACCATTTATACTTGTGCCCATAGTCCAACCTGTTCCATAAGGAAAGTACATTTCAAAATAAGTTTGTTTTAAAGGAGTCACCAGAGTAGAAGCAACAGAGCTGGGAACAGTCAGACCTGGCCAATAAAAAGATCTCTCTTTTTTACAGGTCATCAAAGTTGTTAATGGAAGTTTTCTTGAACGATAAAATGTTCTACAGTAGTTGTGACAAATGATGGTGTTTTCTGGATCCTGCTTGACTCTCTCTCCACAATACCTACAGTAGCAGGAGACAGATTAGGGCTCACCAATTCCTACTTTTTAGATTGGTAGGTGACTTTTCTTAGCAGCCTTGATATTAGTTAATTAGTATTTGTACATATGTTAGTATGAATCTTAGAGATGGGCCGGGATGCATAACTTAATTTTTTAGTTTGATGCTAACACATACTGGAAAATGCCATTAACTGGCTAACTTAATTAGCACTGCAATCATTTAAACTTAGGAAATGATCTATTTTATTTTACATACTAAACAAACAACACTGTAGTCACTTGACTTACAGGCTTGTATAAAACTAAACTCTGTGCAGACAAACTTAAAACTGCTGACTCATGCTAGTCTGGTCTCAATGCTCTGATCTAGTAACACTGCATGACTTGCTCTTAATGTCTCAGTTCACGGGACATAACTGAAACATTAAGAGTGTTTCAGCCCAGCTTCTCAGTTCAATTTTGACTGTGACACAGAGGATAATGGCGGAGGCACGGTGGGGATGAGAAAGTCAGGCATCAATCTTGTAGGGGACTGGTTGCTGCCACTTTTCTGCCTGTGCTGAACTATTGTGATGTTAAACATATGCACACTGTTTCTCAAAGCTAACTCTGGACTCTGTATCACAGAGTTCTGCGGTTCATCACTCCTTTCATCACTTCATTTTCTGTCATACCTCCTGACCTCCATTAGTCAGATGAGAAGAGGAACTCATAATCTTCTCACAAACTTTCCTCGCTGTCTGTTCCAAAAGTGGGAACTGAACTGGGGAAAAAGTTGTTTAAGTTTGCTGCCCCTGTTACTTGGAAGGAATTACATCTGGGATGGACAGATGTGCAAAAACTGGAATGGCTGTTTAAGTTTGAATCATTTTGTTTCAAAAGCCTGGAAAAGAAGACAGGATATTCTGTTTAAATAGTTTGACTTGCTTTTGCTTTCTCTTTTTGTTTCTTGCCAATGAACATAGTTTACCTAATGCACTCTGATCCTGGAACGTTTTAATTTATGGTGTCACGTAAGCCCATGCGGGCTAGGCATATGAATGTATGTGACAAAATAATGAAATAAAAAAACTTCAAACTACAAAAATACCTGAAACCTAACTAGCTGCTGTCATGTTTTAAGAGGATGTTAAATGACTTGGAAGAGGACACATCTGGCTGTAGATGTTCCCTTCTGATATATGCATGTTTGTGGGCGATATTGACAACTATTTGAGGATTAAATTTGTTATTTTGTATATTTTGGTTTTTAATAGTTATGTATTATATTAGTATTTAAGGCAGCACGTTGTTTGTCAGAAACTCTGAAAATTGTGCTGCTGCCTGTCTTGGCCAGGACACTCTTAAAAAAAGAGATTTTTATTCTCAGATGTTTTTTCTGATTAATTAGTATAAAGGGTCACTCAATCAATTCTGACTTTTAAAAACAAAACACTCTTAATTAAATCCTGAAACGGGCGAGCAAATTTAAAGATGAGTCTCAATCAAACCTGTCAGAATTGTATTCTTAACAGCTGCAGTTTAAGGCAAGCTCTATTATCCAAGACAAGTGGCTTCTTCACTCTATCTGTCAGGTTGGTGTTCAGTTGATAGAGTCCATCGTCTCTCAACCGGAAGGTTGGAGGTTCGATCCCCAGCTCCTGCAGTTACATGTCCGATCTTACACTTTTGATTTGTTGTCTGTGTAAGGACTTTGCTCTTTGAAAATGTTTGTTCTAATGTATTCTGTCTGGTCTTTTTAACCTTGAATTTGTTATGTGTTGTGTGTATCTAATGGAGTGCTGAATCTCCTGTCTTGCACAACAAATTAATCTATGAAGGTACAAATAAAGAAACCTTGAACCTTGAAACTTGAACCTTGAACCTTGACTATAGCTAGCTGCATACAGATGGCTTCCCTCCACTGCTTTTTTGCAGAAGCTCTGCGTCCTGGGCAGCTTTGCTTTATCCTCTATAGGATTAATAGCATAGTCATCTCCTCCAACCCCCGTCACCAGGATGGATTGTGAACTCCTCAAAGTAATACTTGACTGCCTTATTGAAGTTTAACCCATTCAGATTTTTCTCAAAATCCATCTTTAGGCCGATCACTCTGTATCTCTATACTCGTGTCCTCTGGGAAAGATAATTTCATTATGATTTCACCATTATGCCAACGATACTATAAATATTAAGATATTTTAGCAAAACCTGAAAATAAACCTCTTCTGCTTTTTGCTGATGGAGGGGACTAAAAAACTTTGATGATAAACCCAATAATAAGGAATCAACTGTCCTCTCATAACTGTTAATAACTGCTTTGTCGCTATCCAAAAGTGGATTTATCTTAATTTACTTAATCCTAATCCTGACAAAACTGAAATATCATTTTATTGTAACAGATACCATCACCACTGTAGTTGATCAGGTAATTGGCTCGTTTCAACCAAATATCAAATCTTGGTATCGTCTTTGACCAACGTATGACTTTGACCATCATACCACTAAGTTTGTCCAGGCAAACTCCCGCTGTGTGGGACTTGTTTAAAGGATAAATCAGGAGTCTGTTGGACTTGAATGTCTAAAAAAAATACGTTTCAACGGGAGTCTGAAGTTTAAGGAAAATGTGGGACTGTAGTTTTATGTGACAGTGCTAGTTAGTAAATGACGGTAAAAGAGTAAGCAACACTGAAATATGCAGTAGGCTATACTCACCTTGATCAGCAGGTGAAGTTACAATAGAAACTGAGGTTGTCAAAGTGCTGAGACTCTCCTTGTTTGAGTTTGTCTCACCTAAAAATAAAATCAAATGTTTTGTTCATGACATTTACACCACAGGGTTTTTCTTCTGCTGATCCAGCTTGAAGACAGATTTACTTACTTTGAACAGAGACAGAGGAATATTCACTTTCTGGAGATCGAGCATTTCTGTCTCCACTCTGAACAGTGTAAAAACATTTCACTTTGACCTCAGCAGGTGAACTCTGATGATCCATCTTCAGCAGCTCACTTCCTGTCAGTGTCTGCAGACAGGATAATATCTTCACAGTTCCTCCACTTAAAGTGAAGTACTGACACTGAGACACATATGATGGAGTCTGACAGTTCAGTGTGACTGAGTCTGTCTCTGTGATCACCGCTGGATCACAGTATAATACATGTTCCACCAGTGCTCCCATTAGTATGTTTGTTTGGTGTTTTTATGATTAAAAACAATGAAACAACAGATTGTCTTACATAATCACACTCAAAATAATTATTAAAACACACAAAACAAATGTAGCTCAAATACATATTAAATCTGCAGAAGCATTTTCATTCAAATAAATTAGTTGACAAATGTATACTTATAGAGGATGCCTTTTGACAATATTCCAACTCTTTAAATCAGACTGCTTGAACCAGATGGGTTCTTTCTGATTATCACAAAATAATAAATAATATTGACAACACTTGTATTACTCACTGTGTATGCTGATGGAGACTGTGTCACTTTCTGGAGATCGAGCATTTCTGTCTCCACTCTGAACAGTGTAAAAACATTTCACTTTGACCTCAGCAGATGAACTCTGATGATCCATCTTCAGCAGTTCACTTCCTGTCAGTGTCTGCAGACAGGAAAATATCTTCACAGTTTCTCCACTGTCTCTTTGATCACCGCTGAATTCACTGTAAGTTTAGGTGGAAGACGAGCTGAAAATATAAACCATGAATATGTTTTATCAAACTCAAACATAAGCTGTATATAAATGTTTAAATTCTTCAGTAGTGCAGCGATCACAGCACAGTTAGACATGAACCATGAGAGATCACAGACTGACCTTCTGTTTGAATCCCATTAAAGACATCTGTTTAAAAAACACAGTGAAAGTAAGTTGACTACATAATAATAACTCCAAGAGTTCACACATTTCAACTCCTCCAACTATTCATTTATTTTAATCAAATGGAGAATTATTAAGTGAGACAAAATTAGATTTTATTTGTCACAACTGGCAGAACACAAAACACAATATCACCGACTCAAAGCTTAATCACTGATATGATGATATCTGACATGACACATTAACGTCATGTTTCAATCTGCAGAGCTTTATAATAGTCCACAATAATACTGAATAAATCAATAAAGGTTTTACTTACACATGAAGAAGACAAACAGCAGACGTCCGGCCATGATGAAGCTGAACACTGAGACTGTACAGAGGATACGTGTGTGTCTCACTGTGTGGACTTTGTGCTTAATGAGACCAAGTTCTTAAATTAAATACATGAGAACGACAGCTATCAGAAATGAGACCCAGGCCAACCGCCCAAGCCTATTGTTATTTTTAAAGTAACTTGTATGCATATGTGTTAGTGTCAAATCCCGCACAATGGAAACTAGCTTCTGTAGAAAGATGACATGGTGTATCTGCAGGTGTAAAACTGACACTTCACTAACACGCTGAGCTTGTTTGTGTTTTGCTCTCACTAAAGACAAAGTTTGTTCCATCTGGTTGATACATTTCAAAGTGTCTTATATCAAAAAGTATTTGGTCTTTGTAATTATGGATACTAGTTTTCTTTGGGTGACCAGGTGTCCCTCTTTGTGCAGGACTGCACAACAAAGTGTTCTAGTACTCGAAATTGGCCTTTGTCTCAAGACCGGCCTTAAGACCAGTTTTTGGAGGTCTCAGTCTTGCTTGGAATCGAAAGCATTTTTGCTTGGTTTTGTCTCAGTCTCAGACCAGGAGGACTCCGGATTACAAATCAAGATCAGTCACGAACACCACTGTAAAGCTATTTTTCTCTGTCATTACTGTAATTAGAAGAAATAATAAATAACTTCAATTGATTCATAACTTGATTTTTATCCCTAGGTTATGTCCGCAAATGGTCTAAGTGAGTGACACGCCTGCTGAACACAAGATGATGATTTTTCAGAGATATTTATGGTCTTGTTCTTATCTCGGCCTCGCTCTGCCTCGGTCTTGATTCGGTCTCTGAGCATTCCTTTCTGGAGAACATCTTGGTCTCTGACTACAACATCAGCACAATGTTTTCATCACATGTCAGCATCCTGCAAACTCTCAACCTTTACCCCCCTCCCTTCATCCCACATCCCTTGACCCTTACTCTCAACCCACATCTTCCAACACTTACCCTCATCCATTCATACCTCATCCTCATGCTCATCTCTACATCCCCTTCATCTATTGACCTTTATAATGGTAAATGGTACATTTTTATTTTATTTTATTTAACCTTTATTTAACCAGATAAATAACCCATTGAGATCAGGATCTCTTTCACAAGGGTGACTTGGCCAATAAGGCAGCAGCACACGTCATAAAAAGCATTACATGACAAAGAGACAGTTTACAAACAACAAGTTAAGAGAGAACAACGATTTACAATGTGCAAATTGATTTACAAATAAAGTGCAGAATCTTGATCACGGATTACAATTCAGAAACACAGGCACTCTCCAATTGACTCGCGTATTAAGATTGAGCCAAAGGCTTCAAGCGAGATAAGATCCGCCATTTTCAATTCATTTTGGAGAAAGTTCCATGCGGTGGGAGCAGCAAAACGAAACGCTCTTTTCCCGAGCTCAGTGCGGACACGAGGCACAGTTTAAAGACATCACAGGAACGCAAGGCATAGTGGCTTCTGGTTCTTTGAAGGTAATAGAACATAAATAAGAAGGCACCAAACCAAGAAGAGCTTTAATGCACAGTGATACACAGTGTCCAATGACTGTAAACATTTGGCCGAGGCGCCCATATACAGTACATCTCCATAATCCAACAAAGGAAGAAAGGTTGATGAAACAAGAAGTTTCCTTGCTCTGAGGGAAAAGCAGGATTTATTTCTGTAATAAAATCCCAACTTCACTTCAAGTTTAGAGGCCAAATTGGCAATATGTGATTTAAAAGCTTTCACCTGCTTTTTGTAACATAACAATGAGTAAGGTCTTTTTACCTGCTCTTTTGTAATGTTAACAAAGAGTAAGGTATTTTACCTGCTTTCTGTAAAGTGTCCTGAGACAACACTTGTTATGAGTTGACGCTATACAAAATAAATTGAATTGAATTGAATTGAAAAGACAGATCACACTCAAGAACAAATCCCAAGTACTTGTAGCTTTTGACAAGCTCGATTACATTTCCTTGAAAAGTTAAAATCAGTGGGACACTTGTTGTTTCTCCACTTAAATGAGAAAACAACATGAGCTTTGTTTTATCAGTGTTTATGACCAACCTTAGTTCCCTCAAACGAGACTGGACAACATTGAAAGCTGACTGCAGAAACTCAAAAGCTTGTGTAACAGATGCTGAGCAACAATAGATGATAGTGTCATCAGCATAAAAGTGATACATGACATTTGACAAATTTTCACACGTTATTGATATAAATTGAAAATAAAATAGGTCCTAGCATCGAACCTTGGGGCACCCCTTTGGAGATTTCTAAAAAGGAAGAGGTGGATCCTGCCATTTGCACGCATTGCGTTCTGTTTGACAGATAGTTGCCAAACCAAGAGGCTGCTTGCTTTGATAAACCAACTTGATGGAGGATTTTGATCAATAATCCATGATCAACTGTATCAAAGGCCTTTGATAAATCAATAAAGAGAGCTTCACAAAATTTCTTACAATCAATTTTTTCAATAATGTCAGTGACTGATACTTAGATAACACATTATTGGCATCCAAAAAATCCTTCAGTTGTTCACTAATGATTTTTTCAAATACTTCAGTCAAAATGCAAAGTTCAGAAATTGGTCTGTAATTGTTTACTTGTGAGGGTTCACCCCCTTTTAACAGGGGAAGAACAAATGCTGATTTCCAGACCTTTGGGATTTCATTGCTGATCAGACTGAGGTTAAAAATATATGAAAGAGGCTCAGCAATAAAAAAGAACGGCTCAAGTTTATCAGGACCTGCTGATTTCCTGGAGTCCAGTTTCTGTAATGCTCTCTGCACCTCAGTGGCAGACACTGGCATAAATTGAAAAGGATGAACAGTAAGTTGACTATCAACCTCAGATGCCAGTGACGCATTATCCTGATTTTTGTCGGATTTTACCAAATCAGGGTGCAATGAGTCAAATAAAAGCCAGCTGAAATAAAATGTTCATTAAAACAATTTAGCATGGCTGATTTGTCAGTCAGGATGCAAGACTCTTTGACTAAGTGGGCTGGCACATCACTGGGTGACACATGGCCAGAAGAAAATTTTATGACTTTCCAAAGTTTCTTTGGGTCATTAAGGTTTTTTGTGGTTTCAGAGATTAAATACTCTGATTTCTCCCTCTTAATTAGGGTTGTACATTTATTACGAAGCTGGCGAAAGAGGAGCCAATCCACTGGGGTTTTAGATTTCCTTGCCCTGGCCCAGGCAACATCCCTATCTTTAAGTAGATTTCCAATCTCTGTTGAAAACCAGGGGTTGTTTCACCCTTTAACCCTGAATATGCGATACAGGGCATGTTTGTCTATTAAAAACAGAAATCCGTCATAAAAATACTTCCAGGCTAGCTCTACATTATCAAAGAGAAAAACTGTGGTCCAATCAAAACAAGCCAGATCATGTATAAGAAGAAGCCGAGGCTTGGTTTTGGGAAGTTTGGCATTTCGAACTGTTGCAAAGGCATAATGATCATTTGCAAAAACCCCTATATCTGTATACTTATGAGGGGAATTTGTCAAAATTAAGTCCAGTAGGGTTGATCTTGTGGGTTGTTTAATATTAGGACAAGTTGGACTATCAATCAGTTGAGACAAGTTTAGAGAGGCACAAACAGATATGAGGCTGTCCGTGGCTGTGGACAGCCAATCACAATTTAGATCCCCAACCAAAAGTAGCTCACTGGAATTTAGTCCAGCAACATAGCTGGATAAGGATGACAAGGCTTCCAAACAGGCTGAAGGAGGTCTATAACAACCCAAAACTGAGATAGACTGGCCCTGAGAGAATTCAAGTTTCAGGGCAAAAAGTTCAAATTGCTTGCTGATGGTCACAGATGTTAGGATGGTAGCATGGAACTTATTTTTTGACATAAATAGCAACGCCACCACCTTTTCTGGGCCGATCACTACGAAAGACATTGTAACCTTTAATAAAAATATCTTTGTCTGAGACTGACTTACCAAGCCATGTTTCAGACAATACAAGAATATCAGTATCAGTTGACTGTGTCCAAATTTTAATTACGTCCAATTTTGGGACAAGGCTCCGAACATTGATATGACTGATACCAAGGCCAGTTCTGGCTCTGAATTCATCAGGTGTAGCAATATTATTCAGTGCAGGGCCTGGATTTGGTTTAACATTGCCTGAGAGTAAAAGTAGAAGTAGAATAAAACCTTTTTTCTTTGCATTTAGTGTTGGTACAGGACCATCATTATGATGCTTGACAAGATCAATAAGTGAGATCTCTGACAATGTGAAATATTTTTTCAAGACAGAGATGCACATCAAACAAAGGTTGTTTGCATCCAGTCAATGGACTTGAACTTATAGCGCTTTTCTAGTCTTCCGACTACTCAAAGCACTTATACACTGTATGTCACACCTACACATTCACACACTGATGGTAGTTGTTGTTATGTAGTGTCATCCATCAGAAGTAACTAAACGATCGAACCCTTGACCTTCCGGTTGAGAGACGATGACTCTACCAACTGAGCCACAGCCGATAATATTCCCATCATCCAACTTATCTCAGTATGTCGATACACACAGGGTGTGGAAGTGGAATTCCCAGCCTATAATGAATTTTTGGATACAAGGTGGAGATTTTGTTGTCTGGCAACAACCACGCATAGTTTGGCCTCCTCAAATTAAAGAACACCTTCTTGTCCATTCAGGACCTTACTGAGCTGGCAAAGTGAAGGAAGAGATTAGGCAATGGCAGTCTGATTGTATCTAGGGAGCTAACTGTGTTTTTATGTATTTGTATTACTTGTTTCAGCAGATGATGAGTAAGAATCAAACAAAGGCAGGTACAAGTAACTCAGAATCCATCACAGTCTGGACATGGCATGATGCCTAGAACCTGGCCAAATCATGTTATTACCTGTATTCATCCTGAACTGACTATACCGCTCTGAGCACTTCGAGATGAATATCTTTCAACTTTTTCAGATAGGGGCTGGTGATGTCACCGGCTCTCTTTCTATCAAAATGTAAGATATTCCCCTCCTATGGATCATATCTTGTATCCACATCCTCTTTGCTCTGT